TTCTGCGCTTTTGTACTTCTTTTTCATCAGATTTATTAAGGCTTGCTGATTTTGAAGACCTAAACCAAAAGAATACAGATAAAACCAAGACTAGCAACACAACTGAAGTATAGACAACCTTTCTGATAATTTTAGTGAAAATACATTTGCCTTCAGTATGCCTTTAGTATGTTTTTGTTGCTCTACAGAGAAAATACATGTCTAATAGTGGATAATTCAAGACAATTTGATTTCAAAGGAAACAAGGAACTGGGGTTTTCTCTCCTACTTTTCTTTTTTACTGAGTTCTGATGTTAATGTACCTATCACATAAGTGAATCTAGAAAATAATTTGGAGTATCTGGCTCCTACAGCAAAAAGAACTTTACATCTAGCAAAAATAATTTAGGTAAATGATAACTGTCACTTCAGAATATCTAGGTAAGGACTAATTTTAGTGAAGTCTATGTAACTTTGGGCAATAGGGTGAATAACATGTGTCCTACTGTGGAGGCAGCTGGAATATCTTAGACTTTCATAAAACAGCTTTGTTAGTCCTATGTGCTCACAGAAGACCTTTGTACACTGGGGAATCTGCATTAGAAGACCCATTTCAAGTTCTGTTGTTTTTCCCACATCCCTAATACTGCTGACTTCTGTCAGTGAGTATGGGCAGGTTTCATGACCTAACTGCCCCTCTTGATGCTCTACCTGGGAATTTAAAGTCTGACTGTACCTTCTGATCCTTTCTGATCTCTGTAGAAGTTGTGACAGTTTCCCAGATGATAAACATATATGTGTGTGAGCTAGCTGAGATTTAGGTTAGGAGCCTTTTCCTTTGGATACACATTTCAAAGGGCTCTCTTTGTTTTAATGCATCTAGACTAGACTATTGTAGCGCACTCTGGAGCTCCACCTTAGTGGAGTTAGTGACAACAGAATGTGACATTTTGCAGTCATCTTCACAGATGCATCTGTGCTCATAACACATCTGTGCTCCAGAGAGGGCCATAACTTGCTGGTCCAGGCATAAAAGTTTTCCAAGTTGAAATTCAGGCCTCCAGATGTGTTTCATATTAATAACACCGGCATTATCTCCTTTTCTTTTAAAATACTGCCACAGCTGAGATGTACTTATCTTAACAGTCCCCAGACTTTGATAGGAGGAGGACCGCATGAAGAGAATCTACAATGAATTACCTTTAAACCATGCATTCATTTCTACCTCTTGTCCATCAGGGACTGAATTTACTGAAATTCAAAGCACACTTCTTATTCTATAGTCTACTTATTATTTCAACCTGAAATGGAGACATGGAACATTCAGCTGCTGTTGTCAACAGCAGGGTTGTAAGAACCACAAAGCCTGGCACCACCATACATGAGTAGCCATCTGCCTCTAGTGAATACTTTGGAAATGTTTTATAGTGCATTACAGATTTCTGATGAGGGGAGTAATTCCCATTTTCGCTTGCTGAGGTTCAGGTGGTGGAGGAGGGTAGTCTGAAGAATCTACATCATCATAAACATCTTCGCCACAATCTAAAACAAGAGTGTTTAAAATAATGGAAAATTATTATGCGATCCTTGAGTAGCAAATACATTGTGTTACGATCTATGACAGCATAGCGAAACTGACAAATTATGGCAAGTAGTGTAGCCTTTTACCATGTATAGTAGCTGTGGACTGTGTTTTTTGCAATCTACTGAGCAAAACGAACACTAGCCAACCTTTTCAGAATAAGACTATTAACAGTAATAGGTATTCACTGATATTTTAAGCTTATTAAGCTGAAGGAAGTTTTAGCACATGTTGGCTAATGCAATAGCCTTTGATCTTAATTTTATTGAGTCCATTTCCCACTGTGTTGCATCAAAGTATATTTTTGGAGTTTGATTTTAAGGTACACTCAGGCACTTCTGTAGCACTCTGGTCAATGCAATGTTGCTTAGAAGTGAATATGAATCACACGTGTTACTCTTTAGGCCAACTTGCAATGCCAAAGCAGTGAAAAGAATTCTTACCCCAAGAATATACTTTAAATCACATTCAACATATTTTCAGAGATGAAGTAATTGTTCAACACATCAAATCAATGTCTAGAAAAATCACAGCGGAAGATAAAAGGTTTAGAACTCAGTTGAAGCAACAGCTTCAAAAACTGTAAGAGTTTGCTTTTTGTTCCATGGCTGAGCTCATATTTATAAGTAAAAGTTATCTTACAAAGATAGAACAAATTATAAAAATAACAAGCATCTCATTTTACTTTTGAAGTCACATTAAGGGCTTCTTTCCAAGTGTATCTATTCATACTTGGTGTCAAATAAACTAGTGAAAATCTCACGTAGAAAAATCATAACTCTTAAAACACATTAAATTATTTTCTAGAGAGCTTATAATGTGTATGTGTCTCCTTCTCTGTAGCCAAATCAGTCATAATGTTCAAAACTTGTTTGCTGGAACTGGATGAGCATTGGGAAATCCTGTTTCCTTCCTTGGATGTATTTTTGTGACTAGCATGATACAGAGTAATGTATACAGAGAAAGGATCAGGAATCAATAAGGAGACTGAACAATAGGCTATTAATTACCTTTTTCAAAATGCTTTGTTGGAAGAGATGAGCTGGAGGGAAAAAAAAGTTTATTAAGTATTTATATCACATTAATATGTTTTTCCTTATTTTATAAAACTTGCAACAGAAGGGCTTAAAGTAATCTCCACACATTTTGAAGCTCTGCTGGCACGAGCAATGCTCATGGAGTAAATGTTTTTTTACCACTGAATCAAAGTAAACTGGTTCAGAACTGAATGACAGAAGATGGTGGTAAACACCAGTTGTTGATCTAACCCCGAGGCAAGATAGAAGTAGAAGGCAATCTTTGTATTTTTCCATCTGGCATATTACTCCTAAAATTCAGATTAATGGGACTAGATTTACCAGTTTATCTCAGCTACATCATACAGGTGAGCAAAGTACGTTTCAAGTGAGGATACAGAAAACTTGCATCACCAGAGTGCCACAGAGATGATGAATTAATTTGATGATCTTTAACATTTTTTTTGGTATATTTTAATTACCAGACTTATGCAACAAATACAGGTTGTTAAGAGAAGAGTTAGACCATGCAGGTGAGAAGAAAGGAGGTCAGTGTTTTTGCAGAAAATTGTCATCCTGAGTTGCAATTTGGCAATCAGGCTTCTGTGAGAACATGTTAGTAGCATGTGATCAATGCTTTTTTAGAATTAGTTAATGTGCACTGTGATTTCCTGACACTCTTACAACATATCTCCATTATCTTCTGCCCCATTGACTTGGGTTGTTTTTTCTCGTACACTTTTCTTTTTGACATCTTTGACCTTTAGCCTCTTCAAGATTCCCCAGGACCAGATATCATTCTTATCTTCATCCTGTGATACAGACCTTTGGAGTACGCAGGCAATTATCACAATGTAAAATGTAACATTCTTTTTAAAAGATCCAGCCGATGCACATTATTCTCATTAACACCAACAATGTATGTCCAAGGGGAGGACATTTACATAAATGCTAACAGTAAAACGCTAAACTTGAAATACATATGCTAGGTCATTTGTAGATATTAAGATATATTTGTAGGTATAGATATTAATCTACTGGCTTACTGTTTTCTCACGGTTACTCAACATGCTAGCATTTTTTTTGTTTTTCTTTTTTATTCCTGAGCTATTCTGTCTAGTTGGGAATTCGGGGATTTTTGTGATTGCAGATGCTTTTGCTGACATACCAAAATTAATTACAGAATGAAACTTCTCCAAAAGACCAGATAACCATTTTTTCTTAGCTTCATCCTCTACTCACTTTCTGGTCATCTCAATACTTGCTAATTATGCCTAATTCAAAAACACTAAAAACTGAAATGAAAGTTATTAAAGAAGTAAATTATTTAAATTAAATAAAAACATACCTAGCTGCAGCATCTTCATAATCTATTGCATTACATATTTCTTGATCAGAAGGAGGAGGTGGGAACATCTCTTTAAAAAATCAAACAGTGAATTAATGCATTTATATTTAATGCTGCAGAACAGGATATTCATTGCTGGCCTCTTAAGTATGCCAGATGTGCGTACAGTTTGTGCAATATCCTTGCAAACTGAATCTTTCTGTAAAGCAGCACAGCCTATTTATTAATACAGTGATTTAGACTCGTCCCAGTTGGAAATACCATCCACATGCCAATCACAAGAGCATGAATACTGAAAACAAATACATTTACACTCTATTCAATCCAATTCTAAATGTCTGGTTTTGTCCCAGTCATTTTGATGACTGATGACTTAAATTTTTGTATGTGACTTGAATGATGATTGAAGATGTCAGACCAACATTCTCAGAAAGTGGCATCTTGTGTTCACCCACAGAAACCAGAGGCAAGTGCAATGTAAGCTTCCCACTTTGGTCTCAGTTCTGACCTTTGAGCCCCACCTCCTTCAGTGCAGGGTTAGCTCAGTTTCCATGTCCAATTCTAGCCACTGGTTAGAGCAATCACTGAAATCTGTCCTTAGCTGGCAGCAGCTTCATTCAACACTGCCAGGGAATGCCTCTGCTCATCTTCATAACTCTAAGTTGAGAAGATGAGCTGTGCTCTTGTGATCAACAGAGAATGCTACATAAATATATGTGCTACCAGAGGGGAAGCTGGGTTCGAATGTGTGTTCTTGACAGTGTGAAAATGCCGCAGTCATATTGGCTAGGATTCCAGAGTATTCTGAAACTGAAATTCCCTGTAACTCTGTCAACAAATTGTAGCTTTAATTGGTAGTATTACTGGCTGATTCAGAACTGGATTTCTTCTGCAAAAAACCTTTGCTCATGTGAATGTTTCACAAGTATATTTGTGCTGTTTTGTGGGATGATTTACCTTTGCACAAAAAAAAATCAAGTTTTGTCATCTTTTGGCATGCTGAAGACCAAACTGTCTCACCCAAGTTCCCATAAGTGGAAAAAAAGTTAATCTGGCCAACATACTTCCTTTCTTTGTCTTCTGTTAGCTAACATTTAGCATGGTTATAGGTAATTACTGCATTATTTGGAAGGTGCAGGTATCTGGATTCGAAGGTAAGTAGTACACAGAAACAACACTCCCCACAAAGTATGTGGAGAACTTACGTCCAGCTCCACTTTGTCCACCACTCTGACTAGAAAAGCAAACAAGACATATTAGAGAAAAACAGTTCTACTTTGGAAAAAGAAAACACTGATCACCCATCACCATTGTAGTTATTAGTTCTAAATCTTTTAACTTTGACACTTGTCTACATTGCTAGCTGAGCACCACGAATTCTACAGCCCAAACACATGTTGATATGTTCTATGTAGGCAACAACTAAGTGTGCCAGTTCTTTTTTCCTCTCTGTTTTCACCACAATCATACCAATTTCTTACAGTCAAATACTAGTTACATTCTCATGAATGCTGAAGAAAATACACAATCTAATTTGTAAGTGACCTTTTAACTTTTAGTAGATATAGGAAAAATACTCTTTTTTTCCTTTTGAAATAATTAATTAAAAATCAGAAAAAAGTATTTTAAAATATCATTCACACTGAAAGTGGAGTAAGAGAGGGAGTTTTCAATAACATTCTAAGTTAATATAAAACAAAGGACAGTATTTTATAAGTAAAGTTATGAAGCAAGTTCTCAACTTCATTAAATTGAAGCAGATATTTCCAGCCAGTCAAGGTGTACATTTTCCTACAACCAGAACATTTAGTCCTAACTTTTAGTAATTGTTAGCAACTGCTATTAATTTGCAATAAACTGGTTTTTTCAAGGAAATGCAAATTGGTATCTACAGCTATAACAAATTACTATATTTAGAACATACTTTATATTCCTGTTGATATCTTTAAACAAAAATACAAAATATGACTTAGGATCATAGGATAATTCATGCTGGAAGGGATCTCAGGAAGCCATGTTGTCAGGCTTGATGAGAACAAAAATATAATCTGACTGAACAATAGAGTCCATCCACGCCCTTTAGATTCATTCCTTATGAGGGGATTTTGCTGAGATGAAATGGTAAAACAAATGAATTTATTGCTCAATGCGCTTTCATTGGGTGATGCTTTAAACTTCTAACTGCATGTTTCTGGCATTTCAAGGATTCCGTATAGGACTAATGTTGTAACAGTAATTGAAAGAAACATGATACATTCACAGTAGCTGAGATTATTTCCAGGTCGGAGCCTTACTTAAACTTAGACATCAAAACAAGATGTTCATTGAACTCTTATGCCAAGAAATCGCGAAATACACCAGCCCTAGTCAGTTACTCCTTTTGAAATATTTACAGTACTGCTGATAATGAGATAATACTATTTGATCAAAAGGCTTTTTTTAGTATGGCATTCTTACAGCAGTTTCAAAACATGTTGATGTATATCAGACCTTTCAACAATTCATGCTCATGTACTGAACAGAATGCTATTAATCATTAGAGATGATAAAAATGTCAAAATACAGCTTAAAGGGTTTAACAAATCTGAGCTATTTATTCATCCTTCGAAGTTCTTTACACTGTTATTTTAGTGTGCAACAGTGTGAGTATTCTTGTTTGCTTTTCAATTCAATAGATTTTCTAAATTCCTTGCATTGAGGTGTTTAATTGTAATGCTTACCATAGTGAAAAGGATTAGCCAAAGACACTTCTGCAATGAAGTACCTAATAGTCATACTATCTAAAACCTGGAGCAACTATAGCAACTCTTCTGGCTAGGTAGGATGCTATGACACCAATGTGCAGGGATGAAAACTGATACTGCGCAACCTGGAAAAATATCACATGCAAAACTATATTGGTTGCTTGAAGAATGCCAGCCTGAAGCAGATCTTTCCAAGCACTGTTTCTGGAGCACATGGGGATGTTTGAGCAGCCCAGGATAAGCTGCACTCAACAGCCAAGTGGCTACATTCACTTTATTCCAGCCAGGCCTCTAAGTTAAGGTGCTGGAAAGTAGTGAAAGCAGGTGTAATGGCTGAGTGTTTCAAGATGGTTGTCCTACATATTGAAATCTTTAACACTCGTATGAAGATCTCTTACCTGAATCCCAGGGTATGTTTCTGCACATCAGGATGTGTAATGGAGAATGAGCACTGGTTTGTAGCATAACATGACAGAAGCAGACTTTTACATGAGGTCAGGTAGCAGAAGTATCTCTGTCATGTTGGGTCATGTGAGAGCCTTGACTTGTCACAAGATCACTAGAATACTTCCCTGCCAGCAAGTTTGATATGCTGATAGGCTGCTGGAGACAACACTTCTCTACCTGCAGATCTGTTTGATGTGAAAATTACGGCACACTGAAGTAGGGAGTCTGCAACGTAGCACTGCATTGCAAATGCATGTGAGAGTATGCCATAAAGGAGAAGCTTCTGATGAAGTCAAAAAAATATAGCTCATACTCATCTCATGGGATTTCACAGGCCTTATTTTCAGGATTAAACATGAGCCAGCCTCTCTTCTGAAGAGCCATCCTAGTCATGCTTCCAGAATTCCCTTCTCTTCCAAAGGAAAGAGGTAATAAGACTCAATTAGACTCATAATAAAGCTCACAAGAGCAGTGAGGGTGTTCAAGAGATTTCCAGTGCATTGGGTGTTTCCTTTTAGAGTCTTTTATTCTAGCATGTTACGTATGTGACTTCAGAAGAAAGAACAAGAAAAGAGAGGGAGGGAAGAGAATTCAACTTCCTGCAGGTGATTTGTAATCCTGCATGTTTTGCATTTTGTACTCTTTTGGACTGCAGTGCTGTAGGTCCTTTTCCAATTGTATGGATTCCTCCTGAATATGAGTGTTTATACATGCTGGATTCCAGAATCCATTTTTGTTTCTCTCACTCCTTCACTTTGAATAATTCAGTTACATGTTTCTGATATAAATGGCTGGGGTTCTGTGTCAAGAGTCCGCCTTGTTGTTTTAAAACTTCCCCTATCTGGGCTGACTGAGGTGAATCATTGGTTATTTTTCATTTATTCCTTATACATACCTGCAAATAATGTCTTGCTCTCCAACATCATCATACACTTCTTGGCTATTCTCTGGATGGTTCACAGCAGCTCTGGTAGATGGTTGTTGCTTTCTTCTTAAAGAATCATAATCAATCTCCACTATGGTTATTTTAATGTATCCATCTAAATTAATGAAACCATGCAATTAGGCAGAGATAGTTTTAAAGCTCATGGTAGAGGTATGAGTTCAACAGAAGGTTCAGAATCAGTAATTGAATTATTTTGTATGAACTTTGAAAACTTTCGTAGAAATATATCATTCCAAGCAGCCTCAGTCTGAGTCTCCAACTGTCTACACAAATACAAATCTCAGATCTCTCCCTAAACCCTGTTCAGCTGATGCAACTTCATTTGATTCTCAGCTACAGCAGAAGAATTTTCTATGCGGTCTCCAGGAATCACGGGCAAGCTCTGTTTCTCATCTAACCTTGAGTCCACTGCAGTCTTATGGCATATTTTAGGTCAGTCCATGACATACAGGTTACGACAGGTCATTTGGAGGGAGAGACACTTTGCCTTAATTTTGCTTCAGGTTGGTAGACTTGCTCAGCTGCATTGCTATCCTGTTGTCCCTGGATCTTCCCTAAAAGGATCTGGTTATATTCGGGAATGCAGCGGCTCAGGAGCAACTTGCAGTGGAGCAGTTGGCCTGAGACTGAGAACTGTCTTTGCTGAGGAGAGTTCTTAAGAGAGCATGAATGGATTTTCTCAAAGGTGAAAAATGCTCATGCATTTCCTGAAAATGGAAAATTTCCTACTCCATTGCTTCTGAGTGCTTCCCCCCAAATCTCTAACATTGCTGATTTTTCCTTTTTATTTAAATGACCAGAAGTGATTTTCCTTTGTTGTTTGGTCTTCTTCACAGACCATTACTGGCTTGTGAACATTGAAGGCTGAAGCATTAGTGAAACAAATTCGCCTATATACCATTGACAATTTTGAGTGAGAAGCCTTGTACAGTTTGCAGTGGTGCTGAGGCAAGAAATGATCTATAAAAAGAAAGTTAATTAATTGACCACAGATGCTCAAGAAAATACCCTTTTCCCAGCCCTCATCAAGATTTGTCTTCTGATGTACAAAATGATCCATGAAAAAGACGCATTTACAAAATTACAAAGTATCCCAGAAAAGCTGATACGGTAACTTACATCTTGAGATCATCTGACCAATCCCCCTGCCCAAGCAAGATCCGCTCCAGGAGGCTGCCCAGGACTGTGTCCCATCAGGTTTTGAAGACCTCCATGGATGGAGACTCCACCACATTTTTGGGCAACCTATTCCTTCCTTTGTCACTCTCACAGTAAAAAAGTGTTTCCTGATTCTCAGGCAAAATTTCACATTTCACTCTGTGCCAGTTGCGTCTTGCAATGTCACTGGGCACTGGGCCTTATCTTCTTTAGTCCCTTCTATCAGATATTTATAAACAATTACAAGATGCCTCCTGAGCATTCCCTTCACCAGGCTGAGCAGTCCCAGCTTGCTCGGCCTCTCTTCATATGAGATATGCTCCGGTTCCTTAATGTCTTTTTACATCCAGTAATACAAATCGATTACCTGGTATTGTGCAGTTCTACATGTGTGAACTGTCTTACTGAACTTACTGTCATTTTAGTATCCTTAAAAATCAAGCAAGTGCTTTAAATAATTTTCCCTGATTTTATTAATCAGTCTTTTAATGTCTTTGCTATAACCCAGGAGCCAGGTCATCAACCCCTTATTATAGTCATAGATGTACTGATGATATTTATACAGTTAGAGAAACATCTTGGGATTTCAGACAAAATATAATCTAGAAATTGATTAGAAACTTTCTATAGGAATAAGACATGCATTTAAAGCACAACCTTGTATTTTCTGCTTGCATTTTAGGAACACCCATGCTACTTTTAATAAAGACACGAAAAAATGTGATCCTTTGGTACACGCCCAGAGCCAAATTCGAACAATATTTAAAGGCTGACATGGAATTACCTCTCAAAGTGTCCATGTAGATCCAAATATAATGTCCCTAATGTTTTCTAGTGCATGTCGATATTATATGACATTGTACAGTAACTTCCTACCATGAACTAAGCCTCTCATGACAGCTGAGGACAGGAGGACAATTATTCACTTTGGTGGCCAGCGACTCAGCTTTGGTAAGGCTGCTCCTTGGTGTAATGCTCACAATTTTGCTGTCATACAATGAAAACATTTAGAAGCACAATGAAGAAAGAGACTCACAAGATCCTTTTATCCTGCCCAGCCACTTCCCTTCTGGGTTGTCTGTGAGTCTAATGATTTCAATTTCATCCCCCTGTCTGACCGTCAACTCATTCTTCCCTCCCCTGTAGTCAATGCAAGCTCGTGCCCGATGAAGGACTTGGATGGGTCCTGTTAACTGCAGAGATAAAGCAACAAAAGAAGTCACAGATGTGGAGAAATGAAGTTCTTTGCCAGACATTCAGTCAAAAGAGAAAATAATTGTAAGGATGATTATTTCTTTTGCTGACAGGCAAATAAACAGCCTAGGCAAATAAACAAAAAGGCACCACTCTTTTCCCCAGCTACCCAGTGTAAATTAATAATTGGGAATGAAAAGAGAGGGTGATGGCATAGCAGTAGAGCAGCTGAAGAAGTAACTGGCAAAATTACAGAATTACAGAGACTAAAACCAGCAGGCTAACCTATGAAGCCTTCCACATGTTCACAAAACAGACGTGTTTTAATTCCAGTGGGCAGCTCCATGCAGTTCCAGCAGAACTACTCGTACACGTGAATGTTCATTAACATAAATAAGTCTACCACATAATGCTCTGTGTTTACAGTTCTACTCTATAAATGATCCTACAAGTACTCACAAGCGATGATCACACTGTGTACTGGAGTTCTGGATTCTCTTTGTGAGCTCTTTAGTATACGCAATTGAGAAACCACCTTAGATTTTAGTTTCTGTGGCTTTAAGATACACGTGATCTTGCAGACACATGTTGCTTTTGACAATTATAGACTAGCCAAGGAATATCTATCCTATATAGCTGGTAAGGAAATTGAAATGAAATATATTTGTTTGCATGTAAGAATAGCAACATTCTTTAATGGCCACAAGAGAGCAGTCTACAGTCAGAAAGTGTTCAGTGTACTAAGGCCCACACTTCACAGGGATGGTCTGAAAAACAGATCTGGAGCCCCATAAACACCAGCTAAGCCACTGGTATTTACTATTAGTATTTTCCTTTAATAATTGCTCCTGAATTCATGTCAGTCTCTCCACGGCAGACCAATGCCATGATGTGAGAGAATCACCATGGCTTTACTACGTACAGAGCATAACAGGAAGAGAAACAAAGCTGCTCGCTATGTACAATGACACTGAAAGGAACACAGTGGAGCATTGTGAACACACATTATTTAACAGAACATGACTGGCAGATTCATAAACTGTGATAGCATGCTGACCAGACCACAAACTATATAAAAATGATATGAGCCATAAAGAACTGTCTCATCATTTAGCCCCTAGATTTTGACAGTGACTTTAGCTTCCAACATGTGCCCTATTCCCTTCTTCATTTAGGCTGGAAGACCTTTTAGGTCCCTTTAGATAAAGGCAAGAGCAATGAGTGGCAATAGAATGTTGGAACAACTTAAGGAGTGGATACTGTTGTATCTGACCACAGTGAATCAAAAACCACTAAGTATATGAGATCCGATTCCCACTTTTGTTAAGGATTTTTGATGCTATTCTAGTAACAAAATGCATTTTAAACAGAGGAGTGAAAAATGTTTTTAAGGCTTTAGAAAGAACATGAGAAGGGAATTTCATGAAAACTATATAAGCACTGAAAAAATGGCTTTGCTGACAGTCAAGCATATGTCAAACATAAAAGGGTAGCTTAAACCTTTATTTAGAATTTATTCAGGTGCTTGAACTCCCTACTATAACAAATAGATTTATAGCCAGCTGAAAACCGTATTTTGAACTCAACAGTGCTAAATAATATTCTTGCATGTCTTTGGCCAGATTACAAAACAAGAAGCTTACTTTGAACTTCTTCCTTATTTCATTCTCTTTTTTTTCTTTTTCTTTTTGTACTTTTTTGTCTTGGTCCATTCTTCTTTTTTCTTCCTTGGCCCACTTCTCTTTTCCTCTTGGTGATCTGAAAGTGCATTGCCAGGACTGAGTGTAACAGCGAAGCAAATCTCAATACAACTTTATTAGCCAAGGTTAACAAAGAACTAGGTGTGATGGAAAAAAACTTCTCAGAGTGAAATCAAAGCTACAATTTCTAAACTCCAGTTTGGCTGCAATGGGTAGAGTAAGGAGCCCTTTCTCTTATATTACATATATAATTTAAAGTGGCTGTCCTCAGGAGCATAGTATACCCGAAAACATTATCTGGAGGTAAGAGACTGGCTCTACCTGCGCATGTCTAAACACCTTTAAGCTAATTTTGGCAAGCAAGCGTGGAAACTGGTAACAGTCTAGGTGTTGTGGCACTGAGTACAGCTGTTAAATATTTACCCAGGCCATCAGTGGTGGAGGCAGCCAGAACTAAAACCTGAGCTACCACTGGCTTGTGGTTTTAAACTTAATTCTACCAGTTTACACATAAGAGAGTCAGTCCTCTGCATGGCATCATAAATGTTCCTGTCACACCAAGGTATATTTCTTGCTGTGTTTTACATACTGCCTGGTACTGAGATCTTGTCCTTGGGATGTAATTAAGACTATATATACAGCTCTGCCATTTGCTGCCCGTGGTTTGTCTTGCAGAGCCATGCTACACAAACCCTACTGAGTGAGTGAGGCTCCCTCCTCTTCCTTTGTTTTGGTCCTTTTGCTACATTGATATTAACAAATTATCTATATATAAAAAAAAGAAAGACTGAATGAGGATAACTAGTCATTCCACGTCTGAAACAAGGTATTTTTGTGTAGGAAATTTAAACTGGTACTTATTCCAAGGGAATTAGAACTTTTCTTTGCTTATTGTCATACCGTGAATCTCATACATTTAGATATTAACAGGGCAAGAGACTCCTCAAAGTAAAGGGCTAAAGGGCAGAAGAATGAGCAAAGTTCATGTTCTGGCTCTGTAGCTATTCTAGGAGACTCAGGCCATGACAGCTGTAATTCCAGCCTCTCATAGGAGTTCTGAGTACATTTATCTAGATAGAAGGAAAACAACCACAACAAAAAAAATCTGTGTGGGACCGTTGTACCTAGGGGCTGAACTTATTTTTCCTCCTAAGGTGTAATTCCAAACAGTTATTCCGACACATTCCTTAGATCAGAAATCAGACTTCCCTTATCGTGATCACAGTAACTACATGATTTTACTGTAGTTTTTTCCAGATCAGGGCATACCAGATCTAAGCAGAAGAATCTGTAAATAACCTGACTTTATCTAGGTGAAATGAATGAACACAATAATTCCTGTCAGGGACTGCAGTGGAATCACACTTTCATGCCAGGTGAAGTAACTTTGTTAGCAAGCTTTCAGTAATAAACACACAATAGGTTATAGAATTTAAAATTGCTACCTGATGTCACTTATGTCTTCATACATCTCTCCATCACTTTCTTGGCCCTATAAGAAAAATTCGATTTTCAATGGCCTAGATGCATTTGTAAAGACATGAAGAAACTGGACCTGCTGTGTAAGCTTTATACAAAGTATTTGAAAACATTTACAGCAAAATGTAAATACAAATTTATTTCATCTTCCCAAACCCAGTTACTACATTATTCACAGTCAATGTTTTTTCTGACTTTGTTTTTACAATGCCACAACTATAAAGTCCTGTATTGTTAAAATCACACTACCATGTTGCTTAATCCAAAGTGGATGTTTTAATTGTAGTGTTAGTCCTGGAAAGCAGGACTATTGATTATTGCACTGCCCTGACAAAAGTGCCAGGGATAGCAGTAGTTAAACTGGAGTGCTAATGATCTAAGTGGGACTCAGATTAGCATCCCAGAGATTGCTTTAGTCTTAATATAATCAGGTAGTTAAAGACACTAATACAAACCTGTGCTTAAATGAAAAAAAATGGTTTATGATTAGAACAGAACAAGGCTCTTGTGTCCGGAAAATTTCCCTGAAATGAAAAATCAGTGGAGATAGAAGGGGTGTAGTTCCTTTTTTTTTTTTTTTAAAGGAATTTTTACTGTCTAGCCAGCTTTGATAATTAGTTCCAGTTTGCTCTGCTTACCTGGTTTTATTTCTGTCCTTCACCAGTGCTTCTAGAATTTACTGTCAATATACTGGATTCATTCTGCAACTAATTTTCTCATGCATTGAAGGGATTTTACTAAATTTGTAAGTTTGCGCTAAAAGGATAGGTTTATCACGGAGGATACCACTTACCCTCTCTGCATTTTCATTACCTATATGACAAAAAATAAAACCAAGATATTTAGTTTTTGTGGCACAAAACCAATTAATTCTATCATTACTAATTACAAACTGCTATAATACCAGTGGTATTGGCTAGAAATATATACAGGCTTCTGACTTACAGTGAGGGTATGAATGCAAAAATCAGAGGTTTTCCAGGTTGCTTTTGTAGTATGCTCTGTGTTACAACTATCTACAAAACAGTATATTTGTTTTAAAGATTCTTAAGAGACACTGATGAAGTTACCTATGCTATTTGTTTTCAAAAATGCCTACTTATATAAGTAAGTCACTGTTAAAGACCATGTAAATCCAAACAGATAATCAAAAAACTCACACTGGCTCAACAGCTGAACAAGGAGGCCAAAGTCTCTTTTGCTAAGCCAGCTTCTGCCCTGAGCTGAAGGAGAAGAAACTCTGCGACTGTCTTGTTTCCTACTTACTCTGCAGGTAGTGAGGTAAGAAAAGAGCTTGAGCTCAGTTTTAGCTCCACTGCCCACGCTTCTGTGTGGCAGGGATGACTAGCAGACTGAATGATGCACACTGTGCCTGGCACAGACCAAGTCCTCCTGAGCAGAGTTTAGGAGCCAGACTGAGATTGTTTGCATCACAATCTGCTTCTCTGGCTGCTCCTGATACAACACAGCGACTCACTGCCTCTCACTGAAGGCAGACCACAAAGCGAAAAGCACAATCAACAATTTATTTATTTATTTTTATCAATTATGAAACAAAGCCTGCTTCACAAGAGCACATAAATTCCACTCTGAGGGAGCAGCATTCATTTTGGTTCAGATTTGAAAATCTGGTAATTTATGTTCCCTGCCTATTTCTAAGTAAAAATGGTTTGGGGAGAGTGAAGATATTTAAGGCAGTTCCTGAGAGTCTGTCATAATCATTATAGAACAGTTAGCGTTATGACACAACCGTCCTCACCCATAAAATGACAAAATCAGCATAATCAGTTGGGCGTCAACTCATGAATACAATATGCTTTTGCTTATCTTATAAATACAATATGCTTACAGATTCTTGTATTCACTATTAAATAAAATGTATGCATCTTACCCCGTGAAACAAATTCAACATCGTCATAATTTTCTTCATTGTCTGGGCTTCTGTAAATATGGAAAAAGGGAACATGTGAAACCTATGAAGATGGTTTTATGGTTGTATTTTCATTCACCGTTGTTCTGGTGCTTTTTTCAGCTATTTCACACCATGTCTGACTAGTCTGTTGAGCCCTATATGCTACTTAAGTTCCCTATGAGCTTCCCTAAATTGTTCTTTCTGACTGTGATTTGCTTTGTCATAAGGACACCTTGATCCTAGGTATAGAAGGAGAAAATTAGCCAAAGGTACTCAGAGACCATGGAGATGACTGCAGTATGAAAAACATTATAGACAGGTGGGCTCACTGCATGGAAAGAATCTGTCCGACTTTTTAACCACCTTCACAGGAGCAGGCTTCTTATACTCTGAGCAAACAGAATGTCAGACTTCTGCTCAATGTTCAATATAACTCTAAGACTTGCTCCTTGGCTTGTAGGGCTTAAAATCTAAGCAAGGGACACAAGAAACAGTGGTGTAACATTAGGCCAGGTAAAAGTTCTCTGATGTTTAGATTTAAAAGTGCTGTCAAACTGAGAGAAGCAAGAAATTCAGTAACTGCTGGCTAGAGAGTTGCTCATTTATTCAGGAGCAGCTTGTCTCTGGTCACTTTTGACACTAGAGTGAAGTGTTTTTAACTCTTTGTGGCTGGGAGGTTCCCATTTTGTATGGGAAGAAAAATAAAGAAAGGAACCTAATACGTGACAGGGGCTTCTCAGTGTTATTACAACAGGCCACAACTTGGCTTCTAGTTTCACAAAGAGCACTGAGCTCAGTAACTCCAGTTTGCAAAGCTGCTTCCTGCAGTATCAACTGCCAGACCTGACCCTCATGGTCCTCTTGCCACATTAAAATGCAGGGGCAAACTTCGGTTATTGATTCAACTGATTTTCTACCAGTTTAGAAACATTTAAACACTCCTGGAGTAAAAAAAAAACAATGGGGAGTCTGTTCCCTCCACCATACCCTTACCAACAGGGCAGAAAAAAAGTATTGTTATAGAAGAGACGATTTAAGGAAACAACTGAACAGATGGAAAGTCCAAGTGATTACAAACTAATTCCAGACAGGACAGAGACAGGGTAGGACAAAGAATGTGGTGTGGGACCTCGCTCCCTCAGAAACCTGGGACACCTGCAGCCTTAATCTGCTGCTGCATGAGCAAAGTAATAGGCAGAAGAAGGTGAGAAAATAAACATCTCATGTTTTATGTTCACTTACATTGTTTCAGGGCTAGGCTTGATGTTTCTGGCAGGCAGGGTGGGAGCTGCTGAGGATGGCAGGCATGGGCGAGAAGCTGGTGGTGGAGGTGGCAACTGCCCAGCAGAGTGTGGTAGAGGTACAGATGGAAAGACTGCTGCTGAGGAAGGTGCTCCCTGTTTCAATTCTTCAATTTTACGGTCTGAAAAAAAAGGAGAATAGATTGAATTTATAAAGCAAGCAGCTGAGGAAGTAACCTCACTGTTTGCGTGAAGTATTAGCGTGAAATACCAGTACTACACATACCCCAGAGCAAATATATTTGTTGAACCTGATTCTTAGATATATTTGGCACCTTATCTTACCAGAGTAGACAGCATCTGCCTAAAGTAACGTACTACTTATTGAAGGCCTTAAAAATGTCTTTTCCAAGACATGAACAAGACACAAAAATGTTGATTCATCCAGTATATAAGCTTGTGTGCTTTAAAACTGCATTGTTGTTTCATTTTACGATTTGCTTGAAAAATCAACTGCAGAGGCTCATATATAAGCACTGATGCAATCTTGCTGGAGTATTTCTTGCTCAGAGACAAGAGTTTCAAGGGAAAGATGGAGAGATTAGAAAAATTTGCATTGATGAAGCAGCGTACAGGTCCTGATACATCTTCAAATATATTTGTAATGTAAGTTTTAAAGGGCTGGACTTAACCTTCTAGCAAGCGCATACTAGAAAAGTGGCAGTGTGAGAAGCTACATGGAAGCTACACGCTCAGTGAACAGATGTAGGCTTAAAAACAAGATGATGCAGTGCACTAGGCACAGAAGCCATAATTACATGGGTGAGCTAGTGTACATGTGAATTAAGGCTCCATGTAAAAGCCACATCCCAACCATAATAACCATTGCTTTGAGACTTCGTGTTGAGAGAAGTTATTTGACATAACCAAATGAAATCACTGTTCGGATGCCATGGCTTTAAACTTAGAATTTTGTTTCAAGTGTCATGAGTGGATTATAAACTACCCTCAAAGAATTGTCCCTAGCTCTATGGAGGGAAGTCCAATGAAATCTAAGGAAAAGGAAAGAAAAGCAAATTCATGGTTCATTTAAAATCAATTAGAATCAAAAAGAATCCCCTTGTCTTCTGGAGATTTTCTTCAAGTTCATACATGTGTAACAGAGATTAAAATCTTGTCAAGAAAGAGAAACTTTCACCATATTGGAAAAAAGTGGCTTAAACATAGAATAATGACAAATACTTAGTAATGCTTAATACTGAAACTGAAAGTTTGAAAGAGCTTTCTTTAGCTGCTTGGGAATCTGAAATTCTGTCTGTGGGACAGACAGGAGAAGAATAATTGATAACTACAAGGAGGACCTCTCATATATCACATGAGAATCAAAGATTACATGCGATTGTTCTCTTATTGTAACTGAGTCTCTGAGGACTGTGTGTTTGCACTTAACTCTTCGCAGTCTTTATTCATCCACAGACGTTATCAGCTATAGTCTCTTACTCTTCTACCATCCCTGACAAAGTATAGCACTGACAATCTAAGCATGTATTTGCAATTGAATTATTTTAAGCAGATTCTAACCAAAGAAAGAAGCCAGAAAGGATTCTTCATAAAAGTCATGTTAATTGGTATTAAACATGAGCTCAGTTTTTAAAGTTTTAACAGGAGTCCTACATCAGTTTTTACATGGTTATATTGCCCTAATACAGTTTATAAGACTAAGGTAAAAATTTTGCCCAAGTCTCTGTTCAGAATACTTCTTTCATCTGATGTCTCTTGAGAGCCAAATCCAGGCAATAGGAAACAGCCAGGAAAGGACAACACATGCATTTTAGATTAAGTGTTTATTTTTAAGTATAAGGGCTGAACAACCTGTCTCTTTTTATTTATGTACATTGCTGGAATCTAACAATAACTAAATCATCATATTAACGTAAATGCTCCTTTTTTATTTTCTAACTCTTAGAACTGACTCTTCTCTGTCCTTAGAGCCTTTAGAGTTGTCATTACCTACATTTACTGAAACTGATGTAGGTGTAAAATGCTTCAATTCTAATACTGAAAATAATATGATAGGTTAGGTAGGATGGTGACACTCAAAAAGCTGTTATAATGAGACCCACAGAGCTAAAGCTATCATAATGTTTCAGTTGTGTTTTATTTCCTGTTTTAGTGGAGAATTTCCGTTTGACTCCAGTTCCATATTTTTGTGTCTCTGAGATACTTGGTACTCTGAGGACATAGAAAGACTCTGTGGAGGTAGTGGAACTGAGGTCAGCTCCGAACACTCAGAACAAGAAATCAAACTGAAACTACATCCTGGCTTCACATGTACCCAAAGCACTCTCATCGCAGGAAGCAATGTTAGGGACCATCATTGTGTGGTGGCTCTGACCACTAACACCTCAGGTTTCAAATAGCCTTTTCTCTCTTGATGAGGCTTTAATTTTTTTTCACATACTGTGTTACATTGAAGAAATAGATGCAGAAACTGAAGCTGTTCACAAAGAAATGAAAGAAGAGAGGAAAATGAACGAGTTCCTCAAAACCTGTGCAGCTGTATATGGGGTGAGAAACTTGCCATAGAAACTGTCCATAGAAAGTACCAAATATCCCATTACAATCCTGCTTGTGGTATTAAACTTCTTTAACCATGCTCAGAGCTTCAGCACCTAAAGAACTGCACACAAAGCACTACAAACTCTTCTCTCCTGTTCTTGGGGAACCTTCTCAAACAGCTTCCCACACATGCAGTGACAAAAAGGTCATGTACATTCTTGGAGAATGTTTATTTGTCAGGGAATTCAAAACACTGAAGTTGTCTTGATGTAAAATGAGTGACTTTCATCCTTGCTATTTCTGGCTTATGAAAGGGATATACTGATAGCTTTTGTGGTAGCTAACATAACATCTAGAGAAAGATAGCATCTTCCCTTCATGTCCAGATATTCTGTATTCATCATCCTCAGGAGAAATCAACCTGGTTATAACAGTACTCTGTAATATTTTCCATACCTCTCACTCAAAATGAAACTAGTAAAAAACCCAACAAAGTTAAGTCCAGCTTTTGGGAACCCATATACTCTATGTAGTCAAAAGCAAGTTTCAGGGCAGGATGAGAAAAAGATAGCCATTTGCACCTTGATAGATTTTCAGTGCTCTCCTGAGGTGCTATTATTACTCTGTCCTGAGATGCTAATATGAGAAATATGTGGCAAACTGAAGAGAAATCCCACCAGTGCCTGGAGTTCTCACTGGAGTAAGACATGCATTTTTAAATTGCAGTGATTTATCTTTTTCAGCGCTTTAAGCCATACTAGGAGTTTAATTTGTAGTCTTGTCCACATATTTTAGCAGAATTCCATGGCAAGTCCTTGACTAGTTGGAGGTAATGCTTCAAAAAATGCATTATGGCAGGGTTTCGTCCAGAGCATTAATATTTTTTGATGTGGAGGCTCTTAAAAAATCTGGTAAAAAAAAATCATCTCTCTCTGAAGCAGACTGAAAGCGTATGCCCACTCTTTGCTTGTTGAAAAATCAGTTTTAAATGCATATTCTATAATTATGGTGCATCTATGTATAACTGAAGAATGAATATGTGAGAAAAAGACTGATGGATGAAAAAGACTGATGGATATTTAATTCAACTGTTTTTATCGAACTTACAGGTTGAACTATGGAAAGATGTGCAAAGAAATAATATTGAAATTAGAAAGGAATTCAGACCTCTTTTTTTGAAACTGATCTTATACCAATCCTATAAGCAAGACAACTCTTTTGGTCAGACACCCATAGGTGATGTCATTGCATTTGCACCAAACTGTGTACATTGTGCGGCATTTCATATACTGCAGTCTGACTTTCATGAAAAAAGCACAGATTAGACTACATTTCAGCTGGGCATTGTTCTTTGGTTCTAGGAACTTCAAAAATTGGTTCTTCTGTTTCTCAGACGTGTAAAATACTACGCTATAGTCTTGCTAAAAGAGGAGTCATTTGAGTTCTCTCACCTTAGGAGAGGGGTGTCCTTAGATGAAATCTGAAGAGCTTTTATATTTGTTTTCACTAAAACCTACATATATATATGCTCACCCAGATTTTGTAGCTGCTTTCAAGCAGATCCAGTAAACTTAAGTTCTTGGTAGATCTGTGTGATCATAATTTCAACTTCACTTCCATAGTTCTCAGGTAAATGTATGGTGGACCAATACTAACAGACATCATGAAATCTGATTAAAAAGTAGGCAAAAAGCCTACATTTTAGCTATGTATAGCGAAGTCCGGGCCTTATGTTGCACATTATTATCATGCAGTTTTGTGATTATTGTATCGACACTCTCTTAAGCTGTACCAGGTTTTATGGTGTGCTGTAGTTCACTGTGCAAACAGAGGCACTAGACACAGCTACCCCCAAACCGTACTTAATAGTGTAGTTTGGTATCATCAGCTACTTTTAGTATCGTTTCTCAGAAACAGATGATTTGGCTCAAGTTACAATTCTTCTCATCCCCTTACACCTTCATACTGAGCTGCTGCATAACTTTATCCAGTCTAGCACTGAGGTAAAGAAAGAAAAACTACATTGACCTTTTAAGTCCAGATTCTGCAGTAAACAGTTGTGACATCCTGTGATTAAAAAAAAAAAAAATCCCCTTGTCTTTATAACTTTGGAAGCTGCTCTTTCAATCTGCCATCAAGTAAGAGCAACAACTGACTGGTTCTAAGGGGCTTTGCAGAGATGGCTAAGACTTTTAGTGTTCTCAGGAGTGATACTTAATTACTTTGTCAACAGTGTTGTGATAACTTTGACAATGCACCTCAAATTTTAATCCCTCCTTTCTCTCTCTGGTTGTCTTACCCACCTGTGTCACTGTGTGAGTACACAATCCATTGCAGAACAGAATCTCAGCAAGGACTGCAGACACAAGCATAATCCAAATTGTAAACCCTGAGAATTTTCTTCTGTGTCTTTTTTTTTTTTTTTTTACTTAGATTCGGTAAGTTTCATTTCTCCCAGCACAGCTCAAAACTTCTCTCTAGCTGCAGTCCCAGTGTTGATCACTCCAGAGGCATTCAGAGGTGTTTAGAATGCTGGGGACTGTGAGAACTCAACTGACTTTGTGTGGGTGGCATCTCTACAGGCATGGTCTCACCAAGGTCAGCCCAGGTGCAGTTGTCAGAAAGCAACGGTACGGTTGTGGCCTCACATGGAAAGCTGCCAGCAAGATGACTTTGCTTCTCATCTCTTTTTTAACAAAGCCCTATTTGTGCTTTGGCTGTTTATTATCAAACAGAACTGTTGGTATTACTTCCTGAATCTAGAAAGCACATGAATCTCACAGATTCTGAGATGGCATAAATATGATCTGCTTTCAGAGAAAATGGCTGTAATGGGACATAACACAGGAATTTACCAGAGTGCGATGTATTCACAGGCCCAGAGTGGAATTTCTTAAAGCCTGCCTTTACTGGCAAATAGTAATGTGTCAATAGTCAAACTTTCCTCAGCAAGACACTTCTATGTACAGAAGTTTTATCAGGAAATTTTTTTTCTGGACCAGGTGAAAACTTCTAATCCAGAGCAAGACCAACCAAACCAGAATCCCTTAGTATTCATGCAGGCATGGCGGACAGTTTAAATCCTTCCCATACACAACAGTAAGACTCTGCATCCTTCAGCCTCTAACATTAAAAGTTATTTCATGCCCAAGAATACTTGATTACAAAAAAACCAGTAAAGAAGGTTTAATGAGAAAGGATAACAACCAAAGTAAAAGGAGTGCAACTATGCTTCTGAGAAAGCAGAGTTCTAACTCCTGGTTTAAACCAGGCAGGACAAGGTTTTCTGCACCTCAAGGACATAGCCCTAACACAAGTATGACAACTGCCATCTGTGGAGCTTTTCTGCTCTCAAAGGACAACACAAAGCCTAACTTTTGTCCTAATACAGATAAAACCTTCAAAGATTAAACTTCAGAAAGTTCTGTCGCATAGGATAAGCATTTTCATTTAACTATTTTTCTATTTACTTAGCACCTGAATCACAGCAGCTGCGTCAAGCTGCTGTTTATCAGGACAAAGTACCGAGAAGGAAGAATTTGTGCTGTGGGAGTGGCATCTTCTTGAAATGACAGTTAAAAAAATTCTTTAAAAAAACCTGTTTAACTGCCTTTTCAAACCAGGTAGCTTTTGTCACTCGTGTTTAATGTTCCAAGAAATGCAGCAGTGTTGAATAACTTGTTAAGCCAAAAACGAGTTTGTTCAGGCTTCACTCTAGAGGACTTGGCCTCCCCACCAGAACTGTTCTATGGAGAGTTCTGGCTGCAAGGAAATGAGTTGCATTAATTAAAGCCAAACAAAGTCCACACCCCATTTCTACACGGGAAGGCTGAAGATCAGGGTGACTATGTACAGCTTCATATTGATTGGTTTCCAAATCTTTCAGCCTTGGCCTGACCCAAGACTCTGAAGCAGAAAAGACCAAGTGTGACCCTTCATTTCTACTTACTTGGGTGTGTATTTTGTGACATATTTGAAAAATTACTTGTGCCATCACAACAGGCAGCTCCATCCTTAGATCATGTTCCCAGTGTGATTTACTCAGGCCAGTGGCTGCACTTGTGCTGGTTAGTGAGAACTGGAGATCCTCCTTCTAGCAAAAGTTCTGGTATTATTCTTGCAGCCCAGATCACATTATCCATTTTAAATGCCTATGATAAATATTTTTAACACCTAGTTTTAAAGAGAGGATGAAAAATGCTTTGTGTCTATAACTGTGTGGGAACCTGAGAAAAAATAATTGAAGAAACAACAAATGAATGAATAAAATCATTCCTCATCTATTTACTTAAAAATAAAATGAAAAAATATATTTAAAAATAATAATTGCAGTTTTGAGTGTTTCCAACCTGTACCAGGACTTCTGAAAGTTCTAGCTAGCAAAGCTCTTGCTGCTTTTGTCTAAGTAAAACATTTGCCATTGTCACTTGCTGAAAATGCTGCCTTTCCAAATTGAAATTGCTCTGGGCACTCAAGGTAAGCCAGTCATGGTGAATAGTGTTTTATAAAGAAGGGGCAGCTGCTCAGATTGTTTGCATCGGCATATCTCTTCTATTGAGATACACAAATTTTCACCTTTTGAGCATCTGGCCCTGATCATGGATTTGTGAAAACATTTCAATAAGTGTAGGGTAACAGGAAAGTCAGAATGTATCAGCTGACAAGAAGTGCATTTTATGTTACTGGTATGCTCCTAACTTTTGAGTAGAATTAATAATGGAATATATAGTTGCATGCATGCTGACTTTTTTTTTTTAACTGTGTTTTTTTGTCTTTAGAAAAGTCAATTCCAATCTTTTTCATCTGGTCATAACCCATGTGAATGTGCTCTGTCTCAGGAAGATCAGCCTTATGTGCGTTCAAAACTGCTGAAGCACAAGCTGTGCTGTATTCTAAATACAGAAGGCACAAGGACAAATTTTATATCAATTAAATCACATGAATGTACCTGTGCACACGCACAGTGTGAAGTTATTCCAAACATCTATCATAAGCCATGTTAGACATCTAACTTTAACACTCTGAATCACACCGTTGAACACCTTCCTTTCCCACTGACTACACTGAAAATTTGTGAGTCTACATTTGAGCTGTTAGATTACATCTAATAGAGATGCTTAATATAGACAAATGTAAGTGAAATGCTCCTTATTATCAGAAATTACTTAGCTATGTGTATCACTTTGTCATAATTAGTTGTAGGACATAAAGTGAAAATTACTTGAGCTAAAAAAAATGTATGTGAGGATTGAGTATATTCTTTGCTTTCAAAGCTCAGTGCAGACAGCAGTGCATTAAGAAAAGGATAAAATCCAACTAAACACAAAAATTTAACACAGTAATAAATTTTTGCTTCTGTCCTTGTTTCTCACACACTGGGATCAAGGAAAGGTTCCGTCTGGGCCCACACTATTTAAAATTCTGATTTTAAAATGTAATCAGAATTTCTTAAGCAATCGTAGTTCATAGAAGAAAACCTCCTTCAACTACTACAAAATTTCTAATAGAAATGTGTCAATTGGCATCACCCATTGCAGCTGGAGTGGCTAATTTTAACTGTTGAGAATTGTCAAAGAGTGCCTGAAAGCTTTGGAGGAAAACCTTAACCCAAAAGCTTGAAATAACAGGTAGTTTAGGAGAGAATTAAGGACACTCAGAACCTCTCCTTCAAGGAGATGACAATTGATATGTGAGTCTAACTTTAGGAAACTACATCTTTACATGAGATTTTCAGGGGCATATTGTGAGTACCTCAGAAACAGCTTATATTGTTACTGCAGTTTGTCTTATGTAGTGAAAGGAACCTGTTGAAACAGAATGCTTTACGGGAGTAAAGTCACAGCAATTTCTTCTTTTCCCAAGGATTTGTGTCCTCTCAGGTATTTCAAATGTATTTACAGAAGCTCTCATTCCAAGACCATCTCATTTTTTACAGAAATCTACTGACAAGCCTTAATATTTATGCCTGGATTACAACCATCAGAAGTTCAGGGACTTGATTCTTGATAAAAATAGTAAGGCAGAGTCTCACGTGCCACTAACTGCCGTGCTACTGAAGTCATGCAAACTAACAGAAAACACTTAACTCCATGAGATGCTTTTGGAGTCTGGATTTAGATCTGGGTATAAACCCAATATAGCTCCATGCGGGAACAATCGATTCTGTAATTTTGTGCAGTATTCAACTTTCTAAACAAACTTTAAAATACAGCAACTTAGAGAGTCATGCTGTGATTAGTCATTGTGATAAGCAAAAATAAAATTAAAAAAAAACAACAAAAAAAGAAATGTGGTTACTACATATTGTAGTATACCATTTTTCGTGGCCCTCAAGCCGTGCTGAGGAAGTTACTATCGAGAACAGGACACATAATATCACCATTTCATTTATAGGAAGTCACAACTTAAACATCTGTTCAAAAAATCTACCTTAACCTCCCTGTCACAAATAACAGCTATGTATACATATACATCTAAGTAGTTTTGAAAAACAAACAAGCCCCGTACAGAAAGCATTCATCCTACACTTTATCACTGAGAAAGAGAGAACATAATTTTAATTTCTGTCCTGTACAGAAGAGACATAAGCATAGGTTAAAGCTTTAAGTGTTTGTCTGATGCACAAGTTTTGTGTTAGTTCTGAAGAGAGGACCAAATTCCATTTGAAATGAATCAGGTACTAAATGCATTAAAAACCCCAAAACCCAAGGAAGAGGGAAAGAACAGAGAGGACTCACTCTTTTTTGGGCCGCTTTTCTGGAACTTTCCTAATTCCACGCAGGGGGGTCTGTTGGGCTTCTGTGGGGCCTGGCTCAGCTTGAACAGTGAGGGAAGGGTTTTTCTCCTGGGGATTCCTGAACTCCCGTCCTTACGCTGTTTCTCTGCTGATACGCCTGATGGCAATCCTGCAACACGCCCTGTGTTCACCTTGTGGAACTTAGGAACTGAGGAATCTGGCTCTTCCTGGATGGTTTTGTTGAGAAAGATGTTCTTGGCAGCATTCATTTCTTTTTCTTCACTCTTTTCCTCTGTATTTTTGGAGGTGCCTTGAGATGAGCTGGGCCAGCGGCCAGTAGGTTTCAGAGCCATGCTAGAAAAATGACTGCCTGCAGCTTCTGCAGCACTCTCAGTATTTTTATCCGTTTCCTTTCCTGCTTTAAAGGAGTGTATATTTGGTCTAGGGCCTGACAGTCTTTTCTGAAGAAAAACATTTTTTGTAGAAGCGTCTTCACTGTGAGAGACCTCATGGGTTAGAGAGCATTTCTGGGCAAGAGGTGGTTTAGAGAAAGAAGGCTTGGGCTCGTTTGCTTGTGTTGCAGACATTAACTTCTCCTTAACTGCAGTTACTTTTGAAAACATTGGTTTTGCCTCACTCTCCTGTGGTGGAAAATTTGTCTTTGACCTTGCTCCCAGGAGACTTTTTTCTTTCTCATTAGAAGCACAGTTAAGCAATTTGTTCCCTGCAGACTTTGGATACAGAGGCTGTGTATCTTCTTTTGCCAAGTCATTGGTTTTGGTGGGAGGTTTACTGCACCCAGATTTTTCATCATTTTCTCTGTTAGTTGCCTGAAGCTGAACCCCGAACTTTTGTGCCACTGTTTTCAAATATGAGGCCTCTGGATTCTCCTCTGTTTTATGATCAGTTGAAGACTTGACTCCCAGGGAAGGCTTAGGATAAACAGTTTCCTGAGAGGTACTGGGTCCTGAAGAAGAAGGAGGTGCATTTTCTTGATTTGCACATTTCTCAAATATTGCTTTCCTCGTCTGTAATTCGAGTTTTCCTGGGACTCTGAAGTTTCGACTGCCAAAAGGATTATCCTCTGTGCAGCTGTTACCCTTGTTAAATTTCTCCATGAGGGACTTCACTTCTGACTTGTCATTCTATAAGCATAAAGAAGAGAAAGAGTAATGAGAAAGTCTCCGTTGCAATGTTCACACATACTGTACTTTAAAGAGTTTCCTGGTCTGAGGCTTGTAGTACTGCTGATTGGCTATGGAGATACTGTAGCACATCTTCCTGTAGGGTTAGAGAAGCTGAGCATTTTGTTATACCCGTGCTGTGGTTATACAATTTTTTAAAATTTTCAGTGGAGGTACTGCCTTTGGAGAGTGGTCATGCAGCTTCTTTTGGGCATACTTTTATTTCTGGAATTGAGAACTGAACACTTAATAAATATAAGAAAATACATACTACTTTAAATTTAAAGTATACCTATAAATGTAAGTGTCCAGTGCTTAGAAGCATAGACTGTACTAGAACCTGGATTATATAACAGACTAGCATTATTCATGCCAGCTCTTTGAAGAACTGCAAGTTGCTCTGTGCAAACAGAAATTCTTCTGGATTGAGGGATGTGTCAGTTTTTCTTTTGCTTCTCAGCAATATTTTTCCCCGTTGCTCCCCTTGCCCTTGTTTTGTTCTTGTTTCTCTTCTAGATTTTATATCTGAAAAAAACTGTACATGTGTGGATGGAAATTGAAAATAAGTGGAGTAAAACAGGAGAAAACAACAATCAGTACTTCCAGACACTGTCAAAGATACTTAACTTCTTGAGAAAAAAAAAAAAAGTTGAAGAATTCCAAGCTTCATTCAAAAACATTTTAATTGGTAAGCCCTATTCAATAGCTTTCAGGACCAGATTTTAACATGAACTCAGAAAACAAAGCTCAATACATTTGCATTCAGTGCAATTAAAGCACAGTGCAGTGAAGGATGGGGGCAAAGGCGAGTGACCTGGCCCCACTTTGCTGGGCTGGGGCCACCTCTGGATTCCAAGAGTCCTTTCTTTCATGGCCAACAGCAGTACCTGGGGTGCAGCTACAGCAGATATGCTGGCACGGATGATTTACAGCTTGTTTAAGTGAGTTCTATTTTGTCTGTGTAAGCTAAATTGTGTAGTACAAAGCAGGGTTGTTAGGACTAGGAAGTGCCCTCAATCATTTGTTTGGAAACAATGGTGTGTGATTACAAACCACAATAAATAGGGGTCCGAAAAAAATATTTTAGAAAGAGGCTGAAGGGTGAACTGTGACTTCAGTCAGTACA